AAATCAATGTACAGAAGTATGTTGCATTCCTATACACCAATAGTGAAGCAGCAGAGATAGAAATTAAGAAAACAATCCCAGGGGTACTAGGGTGACTCACTTGGTTAAGTGTCAGACTCTTAAATTCAGATCAAGTCATGATTACAGGGTTGTGGGATTGAGCCTCATGTCAGGGTCTGCACTGACTTTGGAGCCTGCTAAAGATTCTCTTTCTCTACTGCTCCCCACCATCCCCACTTACAGCACTCCCAAAAAAAAAAAAAAAAAAAAAAAAAAAAAAAAAAAAAATCAATCCCACTTACAATTACACTGAAAATATTAAGGTACCTAGGAATAAACCTAACCAAAGAGGTGAAAGATCTATACTCTGAAAACTATAAAATACTGATGAAAGAAATTGAAGAGGACACAAGGAAATGGAGACAATCCATACTCATGGATTGGAAGAAAAAAATTGTCAAACTGTGTATACTACCCCAGAATACTATACGGTTTTGTAATCCCTATCAAAATACCAGCAGCATTTTTCACAGAGCTAGAAAAATGCTCAAGTTTGTATGGAACCCAAACAGCTAAAGTAACTTTTACAAAGAAAAGCCAAGCTGGTAGTGTCAATTCCAGACTTCAAGTTACATTACAAAGCTGCAGTGATCAACACAGTATGGTGCTGACACATACATAGGCACATAGATCAAAGTAGAAAGAGTAGAAAACCCAGAACTAAGTCCACAATTACTTAGTCAATTAATCTTTGACAAAACAGGAAAGGACATCCAATGGGGGGGAAGAAAAATGAAAACAAGCAGTGTCTTCAACAAATGATATTGGGAAAACTGGTCAGCTACATGCAAAAGAATGAAACTGGACCACTTTCTTATACCACACACAAAAATAAACTCAAAAAGGAAGAAAGACCTAAATGTAAGACCTGAAACCATAAAAATCCTAAAAGAGAGCACAGAAAGAATGGTCTCTGACATCAGCCAGAGCAAAGGGTTTTAGATAGGTCTCCTGAGACAAGGGAAATCAAAGCAAAAATAAACTATTGGGAGTACATCAAAACAAAAAGCTTTTGCACAAAAGATTCAACAAAACTAAAAGGCAACCTGCTGAATGGGAGAAAATATTTGCAAATGACCTATCTGAAAAAGGGTTAGTATACAAAAAACCTACAAAACTCAATTAAAAAATGGGCAGAAGACATGAACAGACATTTCTCCAAAGACAACATACAGATAGCCAATAGATGCATGGAAAGATGCTCAACATCACTCGTCATCAGGGAAAGGCGAATCAAAAGTACCATGAGATGTCACCTCACACCTGTTGGAATGGCTAAAGTAAAAAATACAAGAAACCACAAGGTTTTGGCAAGGATGTAGACAAAGGGGAACCCTCTTGCACTGTTGGTAGGAATGCAAACTTGTATAGCCACTCTGGAGAACAGTACGGAGGTTCCTCAAAAAGTTAAAAACAGAACTACCCTATAATCCAGTAATCGTACTACTAGATATTTGTCCCCCAAAATACCAAAACACGAATTCAAAGGAATACATGTATTCCTATGTTTATAGCAGCATTATTTACAACAGATAAATTATGGAAGCAGCCCAGATATCCATCAATAGATAAATGGATAAAGAAGATGTAGTACATGTACACAAAAGGATATTACTCAGACATGAAAAAAAAAATGAAATCATGCCATTTCCTACAATATGGGTGGAGGTAGAGAATATCATGATAAGCAAAATAAGTTAGAGAAATACAAATACCATATGATTTCACTCATACGTGGAAGTTGAAAAACAAATGAACAAAGGGGGGAAAAAGAGACAAGCCAAGAAACAGACTCTTAACTACAGGGAACAAATTGATGGTTACCAGAAGGGAGGTGGGTGGAGGGATGGCTAAAATAGGTGATGAAGATTAAGGAGTACACTTCTGGTGATGGGCACTGGGTGATATATTGAATTGTTGGATCACTATATTGAACACCTGAAACTACTCTAATACTGTATTTATACTGAAATTAAAGAGCTTAATAAAAAAAAATACCCTGCAATCTAGGTTGTGTTCAATTCCTACTCTGCACATCAACTTTAAGGATAATACATACTTTATGCTACTAACATCCATCTCATCAGGCCATTCATCAGGGCAAGATACTGATAATGCACTTTATACTATTAAAGAGAATCTAAATGAAAAGAACACTCTGGGAAATGAAATCATTCTGAAGAAGGTCATTTGTACTATCATACTATACTGGGACAGTTTCTAAACAGCCTGTAGGATCATGAAAATGTTCAAGATACTGCTCTGGTAAAGAGTATATGGCCTAAGAGTTAGTAGAAGAGAATAATAGGTAAAGAAGCAAAGATGGGCTTTGTCTCACAATTTTGCCTAGAACTATTTTTTTTTTTTTTTTTTTTTTTTTTTTTTGGTGAAAAACCTACATTCCTTCTAAATCCAGTGACAAGATAAAAAAAAAAGTAGTGTTTAAGATTTTAAGTAGTTTCTATACCCACAATGTAGGGTTCAAACTTATGACCCTGAAATCAAAAGTCACATGCTCTACCAGCTGAGCCAGTCAAGTGCCCCAACCAATTCTTTATAGGCAAGACAACTACTGTAAAATTCTACTTAAATATTTAATAAATCTGTTTAAAAATATATTTCAATAATAAATTTAAGTGGCCACAACTGCTACTATAACACAGTAGCAGATTTCAGTTGGCTGTTTTCACCTTTTGTCCCCATCTGACTTACTAGTAGTCATTGTGACATGAGACTTCTCATTTAAGCCAATTATGATTATTTCTTCCCAGTTTTAGAATAGTTATAAGCAATGAACACTTGAAAGATTAAAAGAGTGATACAAATAATACTGAGCAAAGGCTCATATATTTAGCTATTAGCAGGTGAGAGCTAATTTTCAGTTAGAAAAAGAAACTCAACCAAGAGAATGCTTTTGGCAGCTTGTGTAGAGATTACTCAAGAGGACTCCTAAATGAGATGTTGCAATTCTTGTTACATGTAGTTTGTCATTAAACAGAAGTGATAGAGGTTATTGCAAAAGCAGAGATAAAGTTATTTTTTAAGTGAAAGAACAGGCTGATCTTAAACTCTGTGGCAAATTTAATAGGAAACAATATAGTTTATCTTTGAATGAATCAAAATTGAAATACTGTTAAAGTAAACTAAGAATGTATGTTGTGTTATCTTAATGGAACTTATCAGTTATTCTCAAGTCTGGGCTTCTCAGTTATTTTTAAACTCTTTGGCCCTAATTTAGAGTGGATTTCCAAATAATTCACAGTAAGACTAAAACATTTTTTAATTAACTTACAAAATAAACCAGTAGTTTAGCCAACAGAAAAGTTTAGAAGATTTTGAGGTGGCAGAAAATTCATCTTCCAACAGCATAGAGTTGGTTCTTGAAGTTCAAGACTATCTTCCCATATGGTCTCTAGCAAGGTTTGTAGTATCTTTTAATCTCCTTTACCACATAGATGTCCATTGGCCTTACAGCAGTAACTAAACAAGATCAAAGCAGAGATCTTTTTCCAACTAACAGGACTCCATTTTCTGAACCTAAAACCCTACTATTTTCAATATAGATGGTGGATCAGACTAAAAATGTAACTGTTTAGTGCAGTTTACCAAGATTTGGAAGGAATCTGCCCATGTAATTAATCCTTTGCTACTAAATCATTACTGAAATTCTAAATTACTTGTCTGTGATGGTCCTAAAGCCAAGATACAGTGTTGGCTTTAAAATATTCTGCTGAGTTCCAGTGATCTTCTCAGTTTGGAGAGCTCTGCCAGCAAAGAAATTGGACAACAGCTAAAATAAGAGTAATAGCTAATGTAAACAACAGTAATAGAGAACATTAATGTTATCACGGGTTTGATGTCATAGTAAACTCTGTACATGGATTATCTTCATTAAGCTCACAACAATCTTGTGACAAAGGTACTAAGAGTTATCACTACTTTGCATAGGAGAAAAAAATCAGGCTTAAACAAAACTTCCCAAGGCTATAGGGCCAATAGGAGCTGAGGGAGGATTTGATTTCATAGCTTATGTACCCAACCCTTACCTGACTCAGTTTCCTGAAAAGAGGGCTACTCCAAGACCCAGGGACTGACCTGATTCCAATGATGGGATAATGATAACTATGCCTTTCTGGGTAATTTACAAAACCTATCTGGGGCTTGGTTCCCTCTTCTGCATTCTACAAGGCCACTCTGAACTCTCAAGTTATATTATTCCCAAACATATTAATTGTAGAGTGTTTGTAGAAAGAACTTTAAATGAGCTCCAGGGAGTCCAACATTTGCCACTAACTTTTGTGATTTGGGGCATTTACCACCACCACCTCCATCACCCCTAGTTATTTGCCCTTCAAGGGTTATTTTTAATATGTAGGTCAGTGCTTTAAAAAGTGTAATATAGGACATGAAGTACTATCCCACCGTATTCAATAAAATTTTAAAACATTAAATTATGGAATGGGTGATAAGTTGGCTTCTCATTCTCTCCCTGCCCCCTTAGGACTTAAAAACAACTAGTCTGTGATATTTTAAAGATAATCCTTACTTGTAGTACATTTAAAGAAAGGCAGACCAATAGAGAGAAACCTCCAAGTTTCCATTTATACATGAGAAGGGTAGAGACAGTCCCAAGATGCTTAACTCACAGGGCAGGTGGGAAATGTGCCCATTAATACATTAAGTACATTTTAGTAAAAAGCAGCAGTGGGGGAAAAAATTCTATATATACCCTGACTCTTGCAGTTTGACAAAGTTAATGATTAAAATCTTCTACATTTTCCCCCAGGGTGTCTATTTGTCTTGATTGATATTATTTTATCTCTTATGGTCCAAGGATGACTGCCCTTGCTTCTGTGTAGAGATTAATAATTGATTGGTTCATAGTCAGGAATCTTAGTAAAAGGGAATTGGTTACTTTGGGCTGTCACTTTTACTGGGTGATGTACAGGAGACGAGGTGCTGCAGAACTCACCAGCAGAAAAATGAAGAGAATTCTGGTTCTTCTGCTTGCTGTAGCATTTGTGCATGCTCTAGAAAGAGGTAAGACTTCCATTGGTGTGATCATTTATAAAAACTCTTAGTAGTCTGATTTTCCATTACCCTTTTGAAAAGTTATACAAAAATTAGAGAACAGAGAGTTGGTATACAAGAACAGAGAGTTGGTAAACATGTTGAGAAAGGATAGAATCAAAAAGGCACTAATGTGAGCTCAAATGTGGCATATAGCATTTAATTGAAATAGACAAGAAATCAAGAATCTCAAAAGAAAATTGAAAAGATAATTGTCCTTCTTTGATTTTTTTGAGAGCCAAGATTTGGAGAGAATCACTTGAAATTAGAAATTCAGTTGTTAGAAGATAATGCAAATGGAAGCTGTGGTCAATCAATGAGCACTTTTCCCCCTAGACTTCAAAGATTTATGGTCTTTGAGAGCATAATACGTTCTATCAATGATGCATGAAGTCAGCAAAGATCCTAGATCCTCTTTAAGGAATTCTGTGTATGTTTAATATTTGAAAGTGCATTATAGTTTCTAAAACATCCACATGAAAGAATATAGCTTAATTATCTTGATAACCATGTTTTAGATTTTTCATTAATATTCTTTAAATGGGAGGGGCACCTAGATGGCTCAGTCAGTTAAACGTCTGACTCTTGGTATAGGCAAGGGTCATGATTCATGATTTGTGAGATCCAGGCCTGCATTGGGCTCTGCACAGAGATTCTCCCTCTCTCCCACTCTCTCTCTCTCTCTCTCTCTCTCTGCCCCTCCCCCAATTGCTGGCTCACTCTCAAAATAAACATTAAATTTTTTTTTAAATATTCTCCAAATGGCATCTCGTCTTTGAGCAATGTTTAAAAATGTTTTTAAATGATAGAAGCTGAAATAGAAGCATGCGACTTCATGAAAAGTTTCCAAGCTTCAAATTCATAATCCTTTCCAATTTCCTTCTCTGGCTGATTCTTTAGTGCTTCTAAGGAAATCTGCATTCATCTTGGAGAAGTGAAACTTACATTTAGTGCTATCCGTGAGCAGCCTCACTCAAGTCATGTGGTAGTATTCATATTAACAACATATCTAACCAATAGACAAAGATGTATAACCCAGAAATTACCAGTTACTGTGACATGAACAACTTTATTCCTCTTCTCTGTACATTCACTTTTCCTTGATCTTTTATCCAAGTTATTTTACATTTTAAGTTCTAGATAGATAGATAGATAGATAGATAGATAGATAGATAGATAGATAGATAGTTTATTTTTGAGAGTGGGATAGGAGAAAAGAGAGAGAGGGAAACACAGAATCTGAAACAGGCTCCAGGATCTGAGCTGTCAGCATAGAGCCCCACGTGGGACTTGAACCCAGAAGCCATGGGATCATGACCTGAGCTGAAGTCGGATGCTTAACCAACTGAGCCACCCAGGCACACCTCATTTATATATTTTTAAGTAAACTACAGATCCTATGCTCGACTACAAAGTCTGAGATCTCATGGGGTATAAATTGTGTCCTTTACAAGAGCCCTAAATAGGCCACGTCCCAGGAAACCCTGAAAGCTAACTCCTTTGCCTATGGTTTCCCTGGGGCATATACGAACCTGAGAAATCCTACTGAAATACGTTCACATCAAGATCTTCAAAACACAGAAGATCTAGTAATGGCTAGGTCCTGGGATTGTATGTGGATGCCCAGCATAGGGCAGGGGTCATCATTTTGGACTGCTGACTCTGAAAGTGCATATTGGCTTCCCAAAGGATCACAAATGTCCTCTGGAAAAGGACATTCTGCAACTTCTATTTTGACTTTCAGCACTCTCTCAGGCTCTAATGAAATGGATCCTGAGAACTTCAATTAAGTTCAGACCTTAAAGGAAGCTTAACAATGAACTTCAGATTACTTAGATTCCAAAGGTCAGATGATAACCCCCAAGACCTAAAATACATTTATAAGTAATAAATGTCCAATATTTGGAAATAGTACTCCTGACCCACCAGTCCTGAGCATGACCCAAATGACCAAGTCAATGATTTACCTGGGAGCTAGGTAGGCTCTCTTCTAGCAGAAAGTTACTATATTATATTATATATATACACACACATATATATATATACACACACACACATACACACACACACATACATATATATTTGTATGTATATAAAATAAATGGAGTTGAGAGGAGGCTTGGATAGTAGACAATAGGTATGTGTTGCAGTTCTATTATAGTTCTAGAGAGCTGATCAACAATCCACAACATGTATTTAGAAGACCTTTTTCCAAAGTATATTTCATTCAAGACTCATGTTAGGAAAAATTTTATGGCCAAACACATATAAGAAATAAGCCATACATTAGTCTTTCTTGGTTGGTTTACAATCCATGTCTTTGTTACCCTAAAGTTTCCAAGAAGTCATACAAGAAAGAAACCTTACTTCACCCAGTTTCCTAAACACACGGGCTCTTTCCTAAAGTGTCCAGACACCATGGAAGTATTCTTTGGGAAACCTCAGGTTTAAGATGGATACTGCTGCAGCTCAACATGAATAGCAGCTCCAGTCGGGCAAATCCTGTCCTATCAAATGGCCCTGGAGATTTAGTGCACAAGCCCTTGGGTACATCTTGGGAGAAAAGGGCTTACCAAGTATGCCAAATCCGGATGGAGTCATAAAAATACCTCCACATTAGCTACCCCATGAGAGGCAAGAAGTCTGTGTATGCCAATCACCTCTCCACTCAAGTTTCTTTCTTCAGGACTGAAATCTAAAATCTATCTCTCCCTCTCCCCAAGAAAGCAGCAGGAAGGCTGACATAGCTACACAATTACTAAGGAAATAATGCTACGGGAAATAAACCTCTGCATTTTATAGGAGCTGTTGGCAAGAGCGGGATCTATTATTACAAACATTTTCCTTTTTGCTTGAAGCATCTCATTCTCAACATATGTACTGTTACTAGATGGGGTATCAAATAGCAAGAAGAAAGTAAGTTCTTTGAGTTGTGGGGGAGCTGCATTTATCCTTCTCCCGCTTGCCTGTCAGAACACCCCTAGACAATGTGGGTTATCCCAATCTCCCAAATCAGCACTGAATCACCATTTCTCTTTTCCACAAGCTCAGCCTTCATCAGCAGCCATATTAAAAATAAGTTGCTCTAAGTTTGATTCAGGAGCATCGCTGCGCAGAATGTCAGAGAAGTAATTTAGGATACGTAGAGATCTTCTCTGTTTTCTCAGATAGGTCTTTGTATCCTCTCTGCAAAACCTACATAAATGGTTATTGAGGGGGTGACCCAGGATAGGAGGTCTACATGATGAAAAGGAGACAGCCATGAAAAGATCTAGAAGTGTGTTTCAAGGTGAAGGAACAGAGGTATAAAAGTCTTAGGAACAAGTATGGCCTGAATCAAGTTCACAAAGCAGCCAGAGAAAAAGCACAAAAGAGGCTTAGCTCTTTTTGAGGGAAAAGGAGGAGGAGCTGAAGTCAAAGAGGTAGCTAACTTTATCACAAAGGCACTGTTAACTTCCCTGGAAATTAATAGCAAAGTTACACTCCACTGTTGTTAGGTACAAAGCCAGGTACACACTCACCACCATATGGCTACTATAGGGAGAAGTATGTATGCTTTAAGCAGACATGAGGTTAATCTAGGAGGAAGAGATGAAGAATTTTTTTTAATGTTTATTCATTTTTGAGAGAGAAAGCATGAGCGAGGTAGGGACACCAGATGGCAGAGGGGGATGGTGGCAGAGGATCCAAAGTGGTGTCTGAGAGGGCACCAGCGAGCCCAATGAGGGGCTTGAACTCACGAACCTAACCATGAGATCATGACCTTGGCCAAATTTGGACACTCAGCCAATTGAGCCACTCAGGTGCCCCAAGAGATGAACAATCCTTAATAGGCATCTATTACCCTTCTCCCTGGGTGTCTATGGCCACTTAACCTGTTTTTTTCTGCCCACCACTACACTGCTCTGTCCCCCACCGCTTCCAGTTCCTCTGCTAAAGTCACACTGACATCCACACTATCCCACACACTATGTGCTCTGCACCTAAGGAGCTTGTGCTAGCTCCCCCCCCTCCTCTTAGAACACTGATCCACCTGATATCCACATGGCTCCCTTCCTCACCTCCTTTCAAGTGTCTGCTCCAAGCTCATGTACATAAGCGGCTTCCCTGACCAACCTATCTCAAATAGCACTGACTATTCCATTTTTCCTTATCCCTTTACCTTGATTTCTTTTTAGTACTCCTTACCTTATCTCATCACCAGCTGTGTATTATAATAAATGTAAAATGTAGAACCCAACCTCTAGGAAATCAAGGAGTTTATTTTTGTTCCTTGCTTAATTCCAAGTTTTAGAAGACTACTTGACATGTAATATGTGTTCAACAGATTTTTTGCGTAAAATCAGAAAGTTAGGATTGTTAGGTAGTTTTGATTATTTAAGGAAAATTAAACGTCAACTAGGACATATCATAGATATCCTGGAAGTAGTAAACTCTGTAAAATTATAAGATTTATAAAGTATCCAATGTGAAACATTAGAGTCTATGCACTAAATATAGCCAATATTCATAATGTGTCAGCATGTTCAAAATCTTTTGAATACATTTCATCTTTACAACACCCTGATCAACTCAGTACTATTATCCCCACTTTGAAAGTGAGAGAAATTATCCAAGGAAAATAAGCTAATAAGTGGCAGAATCAGAATTTTACCTAGATTAGTTAGGTTTACAAAGATAATGCTTGAAATCATGGTTTTGTTGCCTCTCATGGGACAGATATCTGAACAATCACTAACCTAAGGACAAAAGAGAAAAACAGTTCATTAGCACCTGTTTAGGGGGAATTAAGTCAAATTCACTCTGCCTACTATGGTCATCCAGAACTGATCCAAACTCTAGTTCATCCATACTCCATAGGACTGGCTCTGTCTTCTAACTTCCCTGTTTTCCCAGTACCATAACCTTGGAATTGCTTGATGTCCAATCCTGCAGAGACTTCCTGAGTTTTGTTGTTTTCATTTTTGTTA